AGGAAATAACACTAACCTAAGGGGACAGTAGGTAAGGGGCCTCAGTTGTCCCAGTGATGGGGAGCCCAAGGCTTATGAGATTTCCCAGTGAACCCCAGAACCAAGCTGCCAGGGGTAGAAGTATTCCCAGGCTTGCCCCTCCAACCCCTGAACTTGCCATTCCTTCCCAACAGTGGGTCCCGTGTCGGTGTCCTTTAGCCCAGTGCCATCGCTGGCTGAGATTGTGGCACGGAATCCCCGGGTGGAACCAGGGGGCCGGTACCGCCCTGCAGGGTGCGAGCCTCGGTCCCGGACAGCCATTATTGTGCCCCATCGTGCCCGGGAGCATCACCTGCGCCTGCTGCTCTACCACCTGCACCCTTTCCTGCAGCGCCAGCAGCTTGCTTATGGCATCTATGTCATTCACCAGGTACCTCTGAGCGCTAACCCCACCCTGGCTGTTCTGTAAGGACGTCTCAGGCAAATGCCACTTCACTCTCCGGGATCACTGGAATCATTTTAAGAAGGCAGACTGGCCGGCGCCGTGGCTCAATAGGCTAATCCTCCACCTTGCGGCGCCGGCACACCGGGTTCTAGTCCCGGTCAGGGCGCCGGATTCTGTCCCGGTTGCCCCTCTTCCAGGCCAGCTCTCTGCTATGGCCAGGGAGTGCAGTGGAGGATGGCCCAGGTGCTTGGGCCCTGCACCCCATGGGAGACCAGGAAAAGCACCTGGATCCTGGCTCCTGCCATCGGATCAGCGCGGTGCGCCGGCTGCAGCGGCGGCCATTGGAGGGTGAACCAACGGCAAAAGGAAGACCTTTCTCTCTGTCTCTCTCTCTCACTGTCCACTCTGCCTGTCAAAAATAAAAATAATAATAATAAAAAAAAAAAAAAAAAAGAAGGCAGACTGTCAAATGTGGAGAAGTACCTGGCACTGCTCCTCCAAACTTGTTAGTCTCACACTTAACCCTGCTTAGGGCATCCCCGCTGCCCGTACCTTTCTATGATTTTTAGACTAACCTGTGCAAATTTGGAATTGGCAGATTTGGTCTAAAATTCTAGTTCTGCCATTTGTGACCTTGAGCAAGATACTGAACCCTCTAAGAAGAGGCAAAGAGCAGTAACTTTTTTTTTTTTTTTTTTTGACAGGCGGAGTTAGTGAGAGAGAGAGAGAGAAAGGTCTTCCTTCCATTGGTTCACCCCCTAAATGGCTGCCACGGCCGGCACACTGTGCCAATCCAAAGCCAGGAGCCAGGTGCTTCCTTCTGGTCTCCCATGTGGGTGTAGGGCCCAAGCACTTGGGCCATCCTCCACTGCCCTCCCGAGCCACAGCAGAGAGCTGGACTGGAAGAGGAGCAACCAGGACAGAACCGGTGCCCCAACTGGGACTAGAACCCTGGGTGGCATCGCCATAGGTGGAGGATTAGCCTAGTGAGCCTCAGTGCCGGCCATGACTTTCACACTAGCAGTTCCACATGGTTGTTGGTGGTCAGGCACACACTGATATGCAAGAATTTGTCCAGTGACTTCTCCTTGCCCTACATTCCACTTTGCTATCCCTCTTTCCACTTTCATATATCAGGCCTCTCTTCTTAAGGCTGCCAAAGACACAGCCTGATCTCTCTCCCTTGTCATCTTTCAGGCTGGAAATGGAACATTTAACAGGGCAAAGCTGCTGAATGTTGGGGTGCGGGAGGCCCTGCGGGATGAAGAGTGGGACTGCCTATTCTTACATGACGTGGACCTCCTGCCTGAAAATGACCACAACCTGTACGTGTGTGACCCCCGTGGACCCCGCCATGTTGCTGTTGCCATGAACAAGTTTGGATACAGGTAGAGGGTGTGGCTGGGGAAGCAGGGAAACACCCCAGTGGAAGGAGGGGGACCAAGAGGATTGTGGGCAGGGATGTCTTCCCAGAAGCCTTTGGAGTGCAAGCATCTTTCTTTCCCTAGCCTCCCATACCCGCAGTACTTCGGAGGGGTCTCGGCGCTCACTCCTGACCAGTACCTGAAGATGAACGGCTTCCCCAACGAGTACTGGGGCTGGGGCGGTGAGGATGATGACATCGCTACCAGGTCAGACTTCCTGCCACCGCCTCCTTTCCTATTCCAGCCGGGTCCCTGCCCTTTGAGACCCGCCCTTGGCCATCGCCCTTCAGCCACTGACCGTTAGCTCCCTGGTCCTGCACCAAACCCATTTCTTCCCCTTAGTCTACCCAGCTCAGGCTTCGCACACTGCTGCCCACTCTGTCACCCCTCAGTCTCCCAGATCTGGTTAGTCCTACTGCTGGGAGAGGCAGTGAGATCGACAGGGAATAGCATCCTGGGTTTCTGAGCTGGAAAGGAGCTTGGGACAGTTTAGTCCTGCCTTCTGCTAGCATTGCTTCCAGACCACTTCCTGAGGGATGGGGGAAATCCAGCCGGCGCCGTGGCTCAATAGGCTAATCCTCCACCTTGCGGCGCCGGCACACCGGGTTCTAGTCCCGGTTGGGGCGCCGGATTCTGTCCCGGTTGCCCCTCTTCCAGGCCAGCTCTCTGCTATGGCCAGGGAGTGCAGTGGAGGATGGCCCAGGTGCTTGGGCCCTGCACCCCATGGGAGACCAGGAAAAGCACCTGGCTCCTGGCTCCTGCCAGGATCAGCGCGGTGCGCCGGCTGCAGCGGCGGCCATTGGAGGGTGAACCAACGGCAAAGGAAGACCTTTCTCTCTCTGTCTCTCTCTCTCACTGTCCACTCTGCCTGTCAAAAAACAAAAAAAAAAAAAAAAAAAAACAGAATTTTAATGGGATGGGGGAAATGGCTGTGCTCCATGTAGCCCAGAATCACTTTAAAAACAAAAGGCCTTGCCATTGGCGGGATGCCAACTCTGCTTTTTTAGCATGTGAAACATTCTAACCTTCAGCCTCAGCTGACCTAGATTCATGTCTGTGGTGTGAATACTGGGGCTTGGTATGCTAGAGCCACTGCCTGCCCTGCCTCTGTGTCCTCTGGGAGGACACCCGACGTGAAGATGTGGATTCCCATCCTCTGTTTGTATGTAAAGCACCCAGCAAATGCTAAATGGATGCATTCTTTTGGTTCCCAGCCAGGCTGCCTTCATTCCTTGCTTCTGTGCTTCAAGAATTGGGGCTTATTTCACTTAAGTCTTGATTATCTGGTTCTACCCTCTTTTTAAAAATTTTCTTTTTAAAGTGTGTTTATTTTTATGTACTTGAAAGGCAGAGCACACACACACACACAGACAGAATCTTCTGTTCACTGGTTCACCCCCCTGGGCCAGGTCAAAAGCAGAAGCCCACAATGCCATCTGGGTCTCCCACATGGGTGGCAGGGACCCAAGCACTTCAGCCATCTCTTGCTGACTTCCATTAGCAGGAAGCTGGATTGGAAGCAGAGTACCTGGAACTTGAACTTGAACTCCAATATGAGATGAGGGATATGGGATGCAGGCATCCAAGCAGCTGCTTAACCTACTGCATCACAATGCCACCCACCCCTCATTTTTTTAACACAGGGCCTAGGGGGGCAGGAGTTGGGGTCGCTCAGTCACTATTCCAAATAAGAATTGCCGAGCGTGGGTCAGCAACTCCCAGTCTTGTCCGATCCTTTTCCCAAAATGGCCTCTCCTGGGAGCTGCTCTGGAAGCAAAGTTAGGAGGTGCAGACCTAGCTCTGCCAGCTGTTTACAAGGCCCCAGGAGCCTGGCACTGGGTCCAGAGGACTCAGAGACATCAGCCTTTATATTTTCTTTGGCCATTTCCTTCCATTTGACCTCCCTCCTCCCAGTTCCTGATAGCTTTTTCACCTAACTAGAAACAGCTGTTCTTTCTGGACAGAAACGTGCAATCCCTTCCTTGCCGGCCTTAGCTCCTGTCGTTTACCTGTCGGCAACTTTCCTCCACTCGAATCCTCTAAGAGCCACTCGCTTTCCCCACAGGGTGCGCCTGGCTGGCATGAAGATCTCTCGGCCCCCGACTTCCGTAGGACACTATAAGATGGTGAAGCACCGAGGAGACAAGGGCAACGAGGAAAACCCCCACAGGTAGGGAGGGTGGACAGGTCCTCGGGGCTCTGTGGCCCTGGACAGGAGATTCCTAAAGGTTCTTCCTTTCTGGGACTTAGTCTCCAACCTCTGACCCTCAGATTTGACCTCCTGGTCCGTACCCAGAATTCCTGGACACAAGATGGGATGAACTCACTGACATACCGATTGCTGGCTCGAGAGTTGGGTCCTCTCTACACCAACGTCACCGCAGACATTGGGACTGACCCTCGGGGTCCCCAGGCCCCCGCTGGTCCCCGTTACCCACCTGGTTCCTCCCAGGCCTTCCGTCAAGAGATGCTGCAGCGCCGGCCCCCAGTCAGGCCTGGACCTCTACCTACTGCCAACCACACAGCTCCCCGTGGCTCACACTGACCCCTCCCTCGTGCCCACCTGAATCATGAAACTGAATCCAAGGGGGGGTGTCTCCCCGCCCTCAGGTCCTTGCTGCTCCTGGAGGGATGTGAGGACCCTGCACGCTAGTGCTACACTGGGGGCCGGGAGCCTCTCCTCACTGCTGGGCTGGAGCTGGGCTCCTCTAGACCTGGGGGTCCCTCTTTCTAGGATCACCTGCCAGGACTTATGACTGTGAATCATTGCTGTCATGATTTTAAGTGACAACTCCCGGGGGTCCCCTGCCCCTGGGGTGGAGCAGGGCTGGACCCCAAGCCCCTTCTTCTTCCGTGGAGAACACTCTCCTCCATGAGTGATCTGGCTTCTCCTGGGACCTCTGTGAATATTTATTCTATTTATGGTTCCTGGGAAGTTGGTTGGTGAAGGAGGCCCCTCCCTCGGCACTTTCTGCCTTGCTGGAGCAGCTCCCTCTTCTGGTCCTGGCTCAGGGGGCTGGGATTTTGATATATTTTCTAATAAAGGACTTTGTCTCGCCTCTGCTCCCGCTTTCTGCCTCCCAGGCATACTCTGCCTCTCTCTGTCCCTCTCTGTCCTTATGCCCTTTGGGGACAGAACAGCCAGACCAAGCTAAGTTGCAGGAACCTTTATTTTCATGAGTGGGAGTCAGGTTCTGTGCCCAGGACACTGGCTGCCGCCTGGCGCCCACTCTCTATGCAGTCATTGACGGCAACCCCCTCGTAGGAGGCTCCGGCCAGCGTCAGGGGCAGCCTCTGAGCAGCCAGGAATTGCATGGCTGACTCTGGAAGGAAAGGAGGCAAGGAACGTTATGGCTGGGAGGGGGTTAAGGAACATTATGGCTGGGGGGGGGGTCTGGTTTCCGTGGCCCTCCTCAGCCCAGCTGCTGTCCCAACTCACCCAGTTTTTGCCAGTGGCCTACTGTATACTGCGGGATGCAGTTCTGGGGAGAGAGGAGAGGATGCAGGGGAAAGTTTATTATTGAGGTCCCAGGCCTTGGTTGGCATACAGGAGCAAACACACCAGGCCCTGCCTTCAATGGGGAGCTGAGGGGAATTTACGCCGACCCACCTTGAGCAGATGAACCAAGCAGTGACTCGGTGGCTCCTTCAGTCCTAGCTGTGTGGCAGCTGCTTCCTGTGCCTGCTGTTGGAACAGCTCCTGAGGTAAGACACGGCCGCTGGCCTCTAGCGTCTGTAACCAGGAACCTCCCAGCATCACCTAGAGAGGGAACACAGCGCTGACCAGCCCGGCCTGGCCTGCACTTGGGCATAGGGGAGCCCTTTGGAAATCCCACTGGACAAAGTTTTCTTCTCTCACGGTCACTCGGAGGCCGGGGGGAGACCCATCCTGCTCAGGGAAAGCAACTGAGTCATATACGATTCCCAGGACCCCCGGGTCTTCTGAGGATGGCACCAAATGTCCAAATCCCTGCAGGGGAGGAAATGCATGGGTCAGGAAGGAAGGGCTCCTCCTGGAGCCCGGGGCCCCCCTGCTCCTCTCCGTCGTACCTGCACCGGCAGATGCGCTCCGCGATACTGCAGGTTCACCACTGCTACTGACACGGCAGTGATGGTACTCAGGACACGAGCCAGAGGCGCAGCCTCAGCGGGCAGCAGCTTGCTCAGCGCTGGACGAGACCAGGGAGAGGCCTGGTTTCAGGAGGAGTCCCTACTGCAATTTCTTCAACCCTCTTTGGGATTAGGCCAGTTTGGGGTGGGGGTGGCCCTGTCCCAGGAAAGTACAGCTATTTCCTGTGCCGGTTGGAGAAGGGGAAGATGGCAACCCGGTTACCTGGAGCTGGGATGGCACTAATAATATGGTCAGCCTCCAGACTGCTGTCCCCGAGAGACACCTGAGGCGACAAACCATGTGAGAGACAAGAGGAGATAATGAGAATTTTATGGGTAAACAGATTTTAGCTGCCTCACTCAATTTCCAATGCAATCAAGTGGCAGGAGAGACTGGGTGCTGACGCAGGATGAAGAGATGGAATGACTGTGTAGTCTGCACAGAAACCACGCCTCTCTACACCGTGGGGGGTGGGCCAGAGAGCACCAGCAGCTGCCTGAACTCATCAGCCAAGCTGCGTGGTTTCTTCCCCAGCCCTGAGCCACTTACAAGCTCTGCTTCTAACCGCAGACCTGCATCAAAGGGATTCACAAAGTATGTCTAAGCAGCTCCCGAGGCAGGAAGACAATGAGTGACCCCAGTCCCGTCAACCCTGGCCCAGTGAAACCACTCAGACACAGGCTGAGACAGCTTTATCAGCGAGCTCTCCTACCTTCCAGCGCCCTCCTGCCTGCAGGCTGAGCCCACAGACTGGCTGGCCTCTGAGAACCTGGACCCCTCTACTAGTCAGGTGGGTGTCAAGGGCCTGGGGCAACATCTCCAGTCCACCGCGGAGTGACCACTGGCTCCAGCGTTCAGCCCGGGCTTGGCGAATGAGTGCTGAGTCTGGCGGTGGACTTTGCCCTACAGAGGAAAAAAAAAAAAAAGAACCATGAAGATAGTAGCACCTACGGCCATCCCAGTCCCTCACCTTGGCAGTCCTTAATGGCTTCACCCTTTAAAGCAATGCGCCCCTCACCTGCCCCCAGCAGCAGCCCCAGTAATATGGAACGATGGGTCTGCTCAGCTTGGAAGAGGCTGGGAAAGCAGGACCTGATGCTGAGCTCACGGCTGTTGCCCGCAAACACTCCGCGGCAGAGACTGTCCATGGCTAGAGACGCCACCTTAAGGGTGAGACTGGAACTGAGAGGCCAAGGAATAAGCTGCGCTGACTGATTTCCACTGCCCCTGCTCGGTGGGGCCTGGGGGTGGGTGGGGTTTGAGTTGGAGGGCACCCCCGCCCCCCACAACTGAAGGGTGGGAAGAAAGCGGAAGCATCCACTCCCTACACTGCTTTGGGATCTACTGGGGGTGGGCAGAAGAAAAGTGGGCATCCCCAAATGGTACAGAGGAGCCCCTACAGGCCAAGTTTCAGTAGGGGTGGGGCTCTGCAGTAGGTTGGGGCTTCGCGCAGTGTCACCTCAGGTCCAAGACGGCGCTGGACAAAACTGTGCACGGTCTCATCAGGCTCTTTGCCCCGGGGCTTGGTCAGCTCCCTTAGCCCAGCCCAAAACAGAGGTTTGGAGAAAGGGGGTGAAGGGCGCAGGAGCCCCCTGCATGGAGGAAGGCACAGTGAGGAGGGGGCTCCTGAGTTACATCCCCCCCGCCCCCAAAGCCCAGCTCCGGAGGGTCGACAGGGAGATGAAGAAATGAAGGAATCGAGGGTAGGTGCAAAGTAGGATGAGGAGGCGACCCTGTTACCTGAAGCCAGTGGGTAGGGCGTGCAGAGCGCCGCCTACATACAGGAACCTGTTCTGGGCAGCTGGATGGTCTCCCCGGACAGGCAACACTTCCGAGTCCAAGCCAAGCTCGGAAACCTACTCTCCACACGCCCTCAGGAGGAGGAGAAACTAAGCAAAGGTCTCACCCAACGACACAGTCGCCGTCCCCTCAACGCGATCCCCTGGTGAGAGCCCCCTCCACAACCTGGCTCCTCGGCACTCCGCAGGCCTCTCACCATGAGCAGGGTCCGGGCTCCCAGCGCTCCCGCCGGCCGAATCCCCCGAGGTCCAAGTTCAAAGACTGCACCGCCCGGCCCTCGGACTGAGCGGATCCAGCCTCCCAGACGCTCGCTGCCCTCCACCAGGACCACCTGGCAAAGAGAAGGAGCCACTGCGGCATGCCTGCAGTTGTGCGGAAAGAGGCGGGCCAGGGGCCACCCAGCTTTGGTTGGAAGTGAAGAAGAGTTACCAAATGAGGTTCCCTCTGGAACGGGTGGGGCACTCACCTTAGGGGGACGCGGGGCCCGGCTCAGGTGGTAGCTGGCGGCCAAGCCGCTGATGCCTCCGCCCAGCACGACCACGGTCCGACCCATTGGGAAGCCTGGGAGCAGGGGGCGAAAAGGACAGGCAGATCGGAGAGCGCCCCGCGTCCCAGAGGCCCCGCCGGCTCCGCGTTCCACCCCGGCCACTCACTGCTTCTGGAGAAGCCAAGGCAGCTCGCGCGGATGGGCTAGTGCAACGGTGAGATCCCCGCTCAGGGGCCAGGACTCGTCAACGAGAGGTAGGGGAACGTGAGGCGGTGGAAATCGTGAGACCTCACCCCACAGGGTGTTCCGCTGAGTGGCTGATAAGGGCCACACCTACACTATCTGCCTTCGCAGGGGTCGAACGGCGGTCTGCCGGCCCGAGCGTGGGGGCGCTCTGCCTCCCCACACCTCACCCGGCCAACAAGTGCTTCCAGACCGCCACTCCCCCGCCCCCAAAACCTTCGGCCCCTCCGACTCTCCGTCCACTCTATTCTCGCGGCACGCGTCTGACTCTACTCTTCCTGCCTCTGGATTGGTGGGTCCTGAAGGCCCCGGATCACATTCACCAATGAAAACACTGAACGGGCGGTGACTCCGCCCAGCGGAGCGACGGCAGCCTAAGAGGCCGCCCGGTGGAACTGGAGGTTAACTGCTTCAGTGCCAAATGGGAGCGAGCAGCCGTGACCGGCCCTGCCCTTCCCAGGGCCCGCGCAGAATCCTGCAGCTCGCATTCTCCAGTTCAGGCGTCCCAGGCCCAGATAAGGGCGAGAGCCCTGGAGGCAGGGCCTCGTGAGGTTTGGTTGTAGGGAAAATAGATGGAGACACTGGAGGCAGTCCGCGGGGAGGCGGCTCCACAAACAGCTTCTTGATGTTAGCAACAGATGGGGCCTACGGGAGCTAGGGCCGCCCGGCAACGTACTATGTTTGTCAACAGGGGTTCTTGGGTGTCTCGCCCTCCAGGGGCAGCCCCCATGGCCGGCGAAACCCGCGGCCCCAGTGCCTGCATTCCCTTTTCTGGCCTCCTCGGAGTTTTCCTTCTTCCAATACAAAACCTTCACTGCTCAGGCACACATGTCCGGGTCCACGCCCCCCGCCCCCACCCCGCGACCCTTCCCCTTGGACTTTGAGCACCCCCTCCCCCCATCTGTTCAGAGAGAGAACTGGGTCCCAACAAGATCCCCGGGCCCAATTCATTCACCTCCATCCACTAGGCACAAATGCAACTATGGACATCACTTTTTCTTAATAAATTTATTCACAAAAAAGTGAGTTTGCAGAGGGTCTGGGGGCTGTACATGGGCCGGGGCCTGGTGAGCTCTGTACAGGGGGCTGGGAGACAAGGGAGCCTCCAGGTTGGAAGGGTACTTTTTAATAAAAAAAATAACGGGAGCTACAGCCACCCCCTCCCCCCCTCCCTGATTAAAAAGACACAAAAATAGACGTCTCTGAGGTAAATGGGAAGCCTGGGGCTGAAGGGTGTTGAAAGGGTTTCACAGGTGCCAGGGCTTAAAGGGACCGTCACAGGCACCGGGGCGGCTCCTGCATCAGTTGGTAGAACAGCACGTAGCCCTCACTGGATGCCACCTGGTTTTCACTGACAGGGGAGACACTAGGAAGGGAGATGGGGAGAGAGGCTTGTCACCGGCCTTGTAGAGTCCCTCCTCCCCACTAGACAACCCCAGGGCATCCAGGGAGCGCTCAGGAGAGACCCCAGCTCGCCTGTCCCCAGGCACTCTGCTCCCGTGGGCCTCACGGCAGGGTGTCAGGGCTGCAGCAGGAACGGGCGGGAGTCAAGAGGAGGCTGTTCTCACCGAGAGTCATTGTAGACATGCCAACCAGTCTGGCACCGGCACAGGGCTGTGTAGTGGCCATAGTGGACGCTGCCCGAGTGGTTGCAAAGGGCATACAGCTGGTATACAGGGCTTCCTGAGGGGTTGGAGAACTCCTTAGAACAGTGCAGTGCCCCCTTCTCAGGGTTCCATGGGGCCTTCCCCACCAGACTCACCGGCTTTGTCACTGGCAAAGTCCCCTAGGCTCAGTCGCTGCAGCGGGAAGTCTACACCTACTGAACTTTTCTTGATGGAGCCTCGGGAGGTGGAAAATCGATTCAGATCTAAGCCCTGGTTAAGGAGCATTGGGAGGCGGGGGATCTCTAGAGGGGACTGGGCCTGAATAGTGTCCTCTCCCCTCCCCCGACCCATACTGGGCGCCCTGGAAGGAAGGCTGGGGGTTAGGCTTTTCCTAAGGAGACCTCAGCTCCCCGTGGCCAGCCTCTGCAAGAGAACGCAGGGGAGATAGCCTAAGAGAAATAAGAAACTGAGGATTAGGATACGGAGCACGAGGATTCGGGGGAACCTCTGCACTGTCAGCTTTTTGGTACTCCGCGTTTTCTGCCGACACCGGTCACACACCTGAATAAACGCCAAATGGTGTTAGGTTGATGCGCTCCTCCCCCCAGGCGGCTCCAGCGCAGTCCACTCTCAAATGTGGTGTGCTCCCCGTTGCTTCAGTAACCCCGGCCGCACCCGCACCCCCTTGCCCTAGGAGCACCAGGCCGTGTACCAGAGGCTCCAACACAAGCCCAGACATGTGAGTTCTTCCCACACTAAGGCATCTCGCGGTCCCTTTTCCCCGGGAGGCCCCCTCCTGTCCCACCCTTGTTACATCCCTTGTGAACCCCCACATACTGGGGCGTTCTCCAATTCTAGCTCTTCTTCCTTGGTGAAAAGGCTGAAACAATCCCGCAGAGACACCTTGCCCCCAGCAAATCCTTTCTGCAGAGCAGGGGGCAACAGGGAAGGGAGGGTCAGTGTGGTCTCCATTTCCTTTTCGGATTCTTCTCAATCAGTCCAGCGTCAGTTCCGCTCCAGAGACCCACAGGAGTCCCGCCCGCACTCTGGAGGTGGCTAGGGCCGGGTCACAGAACCCCCGTCCCATCCACCCCTGGCATCCTCTGGAATCCCACCTTGGGGATGGGCAGGGACAGGTCACAAAAAACCTCGAAGGTCGTGGAGCGATACCCACAGGCCTGGCACTTGAGACAACTTTTCAACTGGCCCACAAACAGGTCTGGACAGAAGCAAAGGGACAGAAGAACGAGTCACTGTTGGGGGCCTGACAAGCTTTCTCTGATACCCGTCTCTTCCCTGGCCGGGTCCGTTCCCACCACCAACACTCCAAACAAACTCCCCACGCTATTTCTGGTTTCCATCACCCGGTCCTGCTCTCACCCCCCTGACAATGCCAGCTTTTCTTTCCTCTGAAGCCTGTGTACCCCTCCCCCACCCCCACTCGTGTTCCCACATTTTCCCCCCATTCCATACCCACAATCTTGCTGTCCTCTCGCTCCAGGTAACGTTTCCACATTAGGTTGGCTCGGTCATCGTCACTACCACAGATCAGGGGAAGTGGGGAGCACCCGTGAGGCAGCAGGAGCACTGGGAACCCCCAACACCACAGAGCCCTGCACGCCACCCACAACCCAGCTCCTCCCCTGGACTTCCAGGAAAAGTCAAAGGAGTCATGCTTCAAGGGACTTTTGGGGGAAATCCAAGGTGAAAGGAAAATGTACACAAGGGAACAGGCTGTCTCCCTCCACCTAGCTTCAAACCCTTCTAAGGAGCTCTGTTATAAACTGTCCCCTCCCTCCTGAGTGACGTCCCCAGCATATCTTCTGCCTCCATCTGCACCCCTCAGTCTTCCTCCCCGACGTCCTTCCTTTCACTTCTGCACTGCTTCTTAAACCATTTTGTACACTAAAGGGTTTCCCAGCCCCTGCCACTTCAGTCTGGACTAGCAGGGTTCTGTGAAGGCTGCATGTCGCTGCGGAACTCCCGGGGGTACGAGGGCAGGGACGGGCCCTTACCTTAACTCAGGCTCCTCTAGCAGCGCCCCTCCTCGGCGGGGTGGAGAGGGAGCTGGACCGTTGGCCAGGATCGGGGGAGCCCGGCGGCCTCGTCGGTTGATTTCAAGGTGTAGTCGCTCCATGAGGAGCTTCAGGAACTCTTGGGCATCCTGCTGGCTACAGCCAGACGAGAGAGTGTGGGCCACGATCCGTCCTCATCCAGATGGGGTCCCCACTTGCAGGATAAAAACACCTCCAGGCCCAGAACAATACTGCCCAGGCCCCCACCTGGCCTCACCCTCAGACATGGCCAGACTCTCCCACCTGTATCCAGAGAAGGAGGGAACGTATTTCTGGAAGACGGCTCGGAATCGAGTAGGGTTCACAGCTTCGCAGGAGTCAGGGTGCCAGAGGGCTCCGATCACATCTGCAAAGGCTGTTGGGGAGGGAGTGGGAAGGGGAGCGGAAGTAAATGTCTGGAAGAGGCCAGCACTGGAAGGCTCAGATGGCAGGAAAAAAAGCCTCTGGCAAAGCAGGCACTGGGAAAAATGGATACAGAAGTGCCCGACTAAAGGGTTGGGGGCCACCAGCACTGGCAGCCAGGGGGAGAGGGAGCTAAATGGAGGAAGCAGGAGTTGTTGCCCCACCTTCGGTGAGCTCTTGGGCCCGGCCCCCTCCAGGCACCTCTTGCCGGAAGTCCCTTCGCAGACAGAAGTCCCGAAGAGGCCGAGTGCTGCTCAGACACTGCAGCACGGCATTCAGGAAGCACTGGGGAGCGGGAGCGACACTGCCATCATCTCTCCAGACTCCACTTCCATACACCCACCCCGCCCCGCCCCCACCCCCGCTGGAGCCTGCAGGTGCCCCTCCTGCCCGCTGCCCAATACACCTCCACGTTCCTTCTAGAGGACAGAAGGGCTCTCACCGTGTTTCCCAGATTTCGGAGGCCAACGTGACCAGAGCCCAGAAGCAGCGTGTGATGAGCCTAGGAGGCGAGGGTACAATCAGCAAGTTCCCACACGCTCTACCTGGCACCTGCTGCCCACGGCCTCCCCCACCCAACATGTGCCTCTCTCACTGGGTATTCCAGTCTCCCTACCTCACTGGTCATGAGCAGTAGGCCCATCACAGCTGAATGGACCACAGACTCAGCCATGGCTGTCCCCCCTGTGCCCCATTTCCTCCTCTGCCCAGCTAGTCTGCGCTGCAGCTCCTGGGGCAACTCTCCCAGCACTGGCATTGTGGCCCAGCTGCTCCCCACCCCCACCCTGCTACCCCCAAAACCCCCTCCTGCCCCCGTGGCCCTTTCCTGCTGGCTCCAGCTGCAGTCAGTCCAGCTCACTTAGCTCAGGAAAATGGGCAACCACATTAGCTCAGATGTTCTAAGCCCGCCCCTCTTCAGCTCCAGAGACTCATTAGGCCTAGGCAGAGTCCTAGGGGAGGAGCAGCAGCAAGGGACAGGAAGCATCTGGGGACTCAAAGAAGAATTCTGAACACTTGGGTTAATTCCTTGGGAACCAAAATGGCACGCGATGCTGGAAAACCTGAAAAGGGTCTACGAGACCCTAGGAATAGGGAAGGAGAGAGTCCACTGGTGTAATGAGGGGCTGAGAAAGGAACTTAGGGAGAAGGGGATCTGGAAAGGCAAACTGGAGGCACGGGAGCACGGGCACACAAGTCCTCACCATCTTGTCATCAGAGTAGAAGGGTTCAGAGGGCCGGGCAGATACCATGTGGAAGGAGCCGTGGGAAGGAGGGGGCTCTGTCCGTATGCTGAACAGGGTGGGGGGTCCAGGAAAGCCCCCAAGACGGCGGAGAGAGGTGCTGCGTCTCAAGGTGGGTGGCTCGGGCCGGAGTGCCAGGCGGCTCAGTGCAGCCCCCAGCTCTCCAGCGCCACGGTGCCCTCCTAAGGCAATCCCCATTGGACGCAAGTCCCCACTGCTCACAGACTTGGAACGTGTTAAGTTGGTCCGGGATGGCAGAGGGAGAGCCACAGTTGGGGGTGGTGAGCCAGGCAGGGGAACCCCATGATCTGCCCGAAGGGGTCCCCTGGGACGAGGGCCCGAGGTCCGTCCCCGTCCCAGCTCCAGTTTCTTGAGCCGTTCATCTGGGGGACCTGGCCGGGGAGGCAG